CTGTCTCTCTCTGATCAAACTGGAAAATGATAATAAAGTTAAATAATTCTTAAAAAAAAGAATTATTTTTATTATTCAGTTTGACCAAGGAGAGTGAGAAAGCAAGCCACCAGGTCTGGGACTTGAACCATGGTTTGTCATGTGGGAGTGTCCAGCGCCTATTAACCCCCACACCACCAGCTGGACCCTAATCTCATGAAATTTTTATTTGTATTTTGTTTTTAATGTTTTCTTTAGGTTTTTGCCTCTTGCTGGACAGAGATAAAGAGAGGGAAAGTGAAACAATCCCCCAGAAGGGGGAGCCACACTGCAGTCTCCCAGGATTTGGGGTGCACACATGCACGCCCAGCATGATTTTCAAGTTTGCTCTGGGACTTGAACCATGTCCAGCACGTGGGAGTCCAGCACCTTAACTACCATGCCATCTGCTAGTCCCGACCTGTTTTTTCAAGAGAGGTTTTTACTACAGGGCTCATGTGCTCTCTGGAGAGACAGTCAGCAAGAAATCACCCCTCCTGAGGGGAATGGCCATCTCGCAATCCCTTCTCCACCATTCTCCTCTTAGGATCTTGGCCACATGCGCCTGGTGTGAGTTTCAAGTCGCTGGGTCTAGCGTTCGAACTGCGGGTGAGTGTGGGAGTCAGCAACATAGCCACCGCCATAACCACAACCATTATGCCACTGCTGGAGCGGAGAACGGAGGCTGCTGCATTCTGGAGAGTTGCCCGCTTAGAAGTGAGATAGCTATGCAGTCCCCGGGACAGCCAGTGCTCAATCCTGGCCGGCCTCATGTCGCCTATGGCCCTGGATGCAGTGCACGGGAGACCACAGTGGGGGCTGGCCAGCGGCGTGGTGGTTAAAGCGACTGGATCCTGCATGGCCACATCTGCAAGTTCAAGTTCTGAATCGGGTGGCCTGATAAAACACACTAGGTACATGTGCGTGCCCCAAGTCCCAAGATTCCAAGAGAAGAATGGAGAAGGGATTGCAGTGTGGCCATCCCCCAGGGGTTGGTTTATCACAGCCTATCCCTCCCTTTCCAGTGAGCGCACACACCGATAGCAAATTTTAAAAAGAGGGGGGAGGGCAGAGATTCATCAACACACACTACTACGTACTAAGTATTAGGAATGAATGGGTATCGGGAATATAATGGTGGACAAAAACCTGAAAACGGTACCAGCTCAGACCATGCTGAATTTGAGGAGCTAAACCAGCGGTGTGCCGCACACACCAATAGGTACGTAGCTTTGCTGGGCGTGAACACGGCTGCAAAGATTTATGTCCACATTTTCTGGAAGGATCTGGTGTGGGGTAGGCAGGCCTCTGTGTCCAGTCCTGCCTCCTCCTCAACTGAAATGCTGGCGCTTGGCCAAGTCAGCTGCTCCAAGACAAGTCAGCTTGGAAGGTGAGAAGCTCTCCCATCTGGTGGGTAATTGGAGCTGCCTGGGTGTGGGTGGTTTTCCAAGTGGCCCCAATTTTGACCGGACAAAACCTGTGGCAACTGTGCGCCTGGGCAGAGGCCCCTGGACCGCATCCCTTAGGCTTAAGCCCTGTGGAATGGAACCCAGCTGACCACACAAAGCGTTGCCTAGGTACCGCCCCCAACCCTCCATCCAGCCTCCATGGCCCACTACTGAGGTGCAGGGTCGGGGCTGGAGGGCCCTTCCCGGGAAGGTGAGGGTCGGGGACCCCTGAGCCTTAGGAGGCCTCTCCGCTCACCCCTGCCCCAAACGGCGCAAAACGCCTGAGACGTCCGACTGCTGCGCTTTAGGAGCTTTACTGACCATACACGTGGGTGGCGACCTGGGTACAGCTAAGGCTTCCTGAGACTCCTCTTGTCACTTGGGGTTCAAGTACGTGCAGGCCCCCCGCCAGTGCTGGCTTTGCCTGTGCTCGCCGCGTTCTTAGAATCCTCAGGGTGCACGGGGAGGGGGGGTGCCGGATCCTGGCAGCGAGCCGAGCCGGCAGCCCCGAGAGCCAAACGTCCGCTGGCCGCAACGGGAGGGGAGCGCAGGACTCGAGCTCGGAGACCGGAGACCCGACGGCCGGCGCAGCTCGCGGAGGCTGGAGGCCGTCGGCCGTCGGGGACCGCGAAAGCGAAGAGTAGGAAGCGGCCAGGTTCTGCCCGGTGATTGTCGCCGGCACAACCGGGTCCAGGGGCAGGGGCGCCCGGGGGACCTGGGAGGGTCCCCGAAAGGCCCCAGAGGCGCAGAGAGGTGTGAGGCGGGTGCGGGCAGCTGCGGCCCGCTCGCACGATGCCGCCTTCGGCGCTGACCACCACGGTGTCCCTCCGGGAGCTGGCCGACCTGGCCATCGGCACCCCGGAGGTGGGCGCCGTCAACTTCACGGCCTTGCACACGCTCATCGTGGCCATGCTGAAGAACCTCAACCTCCAGGACACGCGGGTCGACTTCCAGACCCCGTCGCCCGAGCCCAGCCGCTTGTTGGAGGGGACCCGGACCTCGCTCAGCACCCCGCAACTGCCAGCGCCCAGGGAGAAGCGGAAGGGCGTGGCCCGGCCTCCGCAGACGCTGGAGAGCCAGGTGCAGGACCTGGGCCGGCAGGTGGAGGCCATCGGCGGCCCGGGGGAGGGGCTGCGGCACCACCATGCCCCG